TCTGTTTCGTTTTCGTTGTGCCACCCTGTATAACGAAATATCAACACAAAATGTCAATCACCCCCCCCCCCCCCCCCCAATTGCACAGCGGTGCGCCAAAAACCAGCGTTAATGCTCCGGCGCTTACCTGAGAAAATTCGTTTCGGGTTTCACGTTGAATGTCACGTAATTGATTTATTTACAGGGTGTCCCATTTATTTTGAGACAGTCGATTATTGCGGAAACTAGCGGAGATATCAAAAAATGATTTATATAAAATATTCTTCATATGAAGTGGCCCATTTAATGATGCTATCTTTTCACATAACGGACAACATAAACCTATACTTTGTATTGAATATTGTATTAAACTGTCAAACATGTTTTTTTTAAATCTGGTTTGAGCTAGGAAGCTGTTCTGTCAAGAATAGAAGAATAGACTCAGTATGTACTTTTGCAATGTACGTACCAGTACAATTTACTAGGGATCTTCAACATTCCAAGCTCTTTAGCTATGTAGATAGTTCACGAAACTCCAAGACCCTTTTTTCAGCATTGGATTTTGTATGAAGGAGAAAATTGAACTTGAATTTCAATGATTTTTACATTTTCAAATTTTAATCACAATATCGATTTACACGTAAGGTGGAAGAAAAAAAATGTCTGGTACACCCATCCTGATGATGGTGTATGAATATTGAAACTTACTGCATTAAATGTAAAAGGTGGGCACTACTTACCACATGGCTTGTACGGAAACAGGCTTGAAGATATGATGACGTCCACACACGCTAACACTGAACCCACTGAAAAAAGAAAAAACATGGTTTTATTGGAAATTACCAGACTATATGACGCTGAGTAACCTCATTGCCTAAGGGGTCTCTACTTGTCGCATATACGGTCAATGAACAATAATTGGGCCAATCTTATATTAAAACTTTTATAAAATTGGTAATTGCATCTTTCTGGTCGGGTATAGAATGGGCACGCCGTCGTGTATAACGTTTGATGTCTTCAAATGCAATGGCGGTTGGGTAGGTATTCTGAATACAACCTCCTATCATCGATAGCAATCATCATGAACGATTACATAGTCACGCGAGCACGAAATTTAAGGCTATTATAAGTTTCCAAGACGAAATGGGGACGCCATCGAAAATGCAATACCGGCGCAAAAGAAAGATGCAACAATTGCTAGCGCCTTTCACATTCATGATATAAGAAGCGATTAAAGAGGTTAAGTAATCATCAATTATTTATACTAGACATCTCGCGCCCACTAAATTAATTAAACTCTAATTGCGCGTGCCCGACGAGAAAAATAAATGTTTTGGCAATCGTTGGTCGATTAAAAATTGTCCACCTGCACGACGCCTTGTCAACCTTACCGCGCTGCCTACCGAAACTGACGTCAGTTTTATTGAAAGGACGACATTCACCGCATTAAACTAAAGATATATGGAAAGCATGAGATAATCGATGCTTCCCATGCACGTCCGCCCAAACGTTACCTTTCGAAGCGATCAATCGAAAACACACACGATTCCGTCGACGTCTGATTGACTGCAGCTGTATACGAAAAAGTCAAACCACTTGACAGTCGTCAATAAGGAAATGTGGACGTTGATTGAAGTTCAATGAGACCATCTGCTACTGATGACGAAAAGTTTTGGAGAAGAAGAGCAGAGTAATTGGCACACGAATAAAATTGTGGCAAAAAAGTGCGACGTCATTTGAGGGTTGATTCAACCTGCTCAAGTATCGCAATTTGAGATGTGTCCATCCGGAGGCATATTTTTGCATATTTCCAATATGTATGGATCAATGATCAAGAGTGGGAGCTCTATCTACGGTCACCTGGTACTTCCAAGAGTGTTCAATTGACGTTCTTCCTAAATTCCGCGAACCCATCATTAGATTATTAAATTATACTGAAAATACTATTAATAATGACATCATGAAACAATAGCGGTCTGTAATGTGACCCCTGCGGCGCTCCTTTCTAGGTATATCTGCAAGCGTATAATGTTGTAAAATTAAATCGTCCTAATTTATGGAATTTGTTTACCGCAACAAATCGAGTCGCGCTCGCGGCCAACGGCCACCGTTAATATAAACATTAACCAACGAACCACAACATAGACCGGAATAAATTAATCTGACGGCATCGATATTAGTGGGATCGGCATAAAAATCGAAACAATAGCCTGCCTAGCTATGAATAATTAAAAATTGTAAAAATATCCGCATGCAGAAGGAAGTGATTATTATAAAATTTGAATTTGAATTGAATAGAAAGTATACACACGGAGTCAATGTAGGTTAATCGTGTGCAAATATTATTCGTATTAGACACGTGCTCAAAATAGAGACGATTATTGCTCAATTTCGGATGTAGCCGACAGCTAATGATGTAGATACCTCCCGAAATTATTCGAAATAATAACCGCAAGTCTTTACTGAAGGTTAAGCTCCCCATCGCCAAAGTTCAGTTACACGTCCGAAATAGAGTTTGATCAATAGTGTGATGGCCGTCTAGTCTACATGGTGATTTATCCCAACGCTGTTTTAGATGGGGATTAGAGATCGTTCCAAAAATTGCTTTTCGCAACACTCAATCATCTTCGGTGCAAATGTCAAGGTTGGATGTTACAATGGGAAAATGAGCCCCATTGACTGCCTTTTTCAGGAGAAGAGGAATTCACAAAAGATTCTTATGCAAAGCAGGTATGATGCATTAGCATAATTCCATCGATTGGTATGCGATTAGTAATACGTAAGAATACACCAGTATTAGGGTGGTCCGCATAGGTAAATTTGGAAATATCCAATCAGCTCAGAGATTTCGGATAAAAATTATTGTAGTGGATTGCATGCAACGGAAAACCACAGGGGTGGTATAAGGAAAAACAGAAATTTTGTTGACGCCGCGTGGTTTACAGTTGCCACAATGAATTTTTCTACCACTAATGAATGTAGTTTAACAAAATCAAATATACCTGACCTTTGTTTAATTGATCAATGTTTCATTTTTTTCACATTTTTTAATATTTCATCATTTGTAACTTACCGGTTGCTTAATGGGAACCGGGAAAAATTTGGTGGATTTAGCGGTTATAAACATTTTGCGAGGATCTGGATTTAGAAAGGGGGATGAACGGTAGCTCACTCTGATACAGGCCTCCCTTAGGGTCATTTGTCGTGCCTCCCTGATACTAAAATTGTGTGCCACCACCACACTAAGGCTACTCGATGATTGATGCTGGGAAAGATGAACAGGCTTCACGTCGACTGTGTCCAAGTGATGGGCACTCACAAAGAGCGTGTTTTGGTCCATACAATGCATACGCAGACTGCTCAGATACTATCCCTATGAGCAAATGTACATTTTTGTGTGGCAATTCTATACAAAGAACTAACTCTTCTTCTTATCACGCAGCTGTTGTCACAGGTTTCATTATTAGTTGGCTTTTATTTAAAAAAAAAAGTATCACGAAACAATTGCTATTGTGTCAAACGCCAAAAAATTTTAGAGCCCAGCTACATTTAGAAAACCTATTTTATTATGCCACATCTAGAAGGCGTAAGCTATTATATGGAAACGTGTGGATAGATTATCCATAACTGTATCGCACACGAACAGAAAAATGTTACAGATGCCCCTGCTGCATACCTTACTAAGTTTTAGTAATGGGTCTGTTAAATCAAAAATTGAAAATAGCTGCAAAATTTGGTATGGGTTTCTATGGTATTGGTATGCATCACACATTATTTGGACAAATAGTTATATTCTCTTAAATAATTTAGAAATCGTGTGATTTAAGTTTATGATCTTTTTGATTTATTAATAGCAATCGTAATTTTAACTTACCATAATTTTGACTTACATTTCCTAATTTCGATTTACCCTCGGATTTACCTATATCTCGCAATTCTTACTTATATCTCGTACTTTTGAAAGGTAGCAAAATTTTTTGACATATTTTGTAATTTCGACTTATATAACATAATTTCAAATCATGTATAGAATTTCAACTTGCATTTCGTAATTTATACTTACATAACGCAATTATAATCAATATACATAGTCGCTATTAAAGATGGAATCAAAGCTCTCACTCTCAAACCGTTTGAGAGACATACATCATTCATTAGAATGGAGGCGCCATTTGAAATTATTTAATTTTTTTTGACACATGATTTCAGTGTGACCGGCGCGGCGCGCCTTCTGGAACTTTTGAAATGGCAATGTAGGTCATGTGATACGTCATTAGAAAGCCATTCATGATTAACGTATAGTAAGAAAGAGAAAAAAATAAACTTTCTAATGACCTATGTTGCGATTTAAAAAAATTCAAAATGGCGGTCGCACTCAAAAATCATTTTCTTTGAAAATAACCCAGGTATCATCGAAAAACTGAAAATGTCAAATTTCGTTTTCATTTTCCCTAGCTTGAACGGTCCGTAATGGACGGTTCTCGTTACACCTGTTATGAGAATTTCCATAACGTTGAAGCTACAGGCTACTACTTTCTTAGTCTTATGGACGCCATATTAAATTTTTACGGAATGCGATAGAGGAAAAAAAAAGAAATTAATTTGAATGCATCGCCATCATAGCCATGTTGATCCAATAAGATTTAGTTACCTGTGAGTGTGGATGTTTTGTTAAGAAATAAATGTAAAACTTCTGATTTTAAAATTTTCTTGTAAATTTATGTAAAACTAGAGTATGACACGTAATTATCTTTCTTTTTTGGTCCTCTATCTCATTCCGTAAAAATCCAATATGGCGCCCATAAGAAATAAGAAAGTAGCAGCTTTTACATCTAGCGTGCAATGAAAATTCTGATAACAAATTCAGATTCCGCGAAAAAAGTCTCTATAAGAGGTGTTAACGAGAACCGTCCATTACCGCCCGTATGGAAACTGAAAACGACATTTGAAGTTTTTCGGTGGATTTTTCAAAAATTTGAAAAGAGTTTTTTTGTCACAAAAAGGGGCAAACTTGCCCCCATTTAAACCTGCACTGTATCTGTCACCGTTACGGAGTCCCCAATAGTGAACCACGAATTTGAATCACCATGTACTTGTAGACTCCCGTTGAGTGAAATGAGGCAAAACGAGTAGGCGAAATATACATTCTAAAATGAGCACAACCTTTGATTA